ATCTCATTAACTAATTGGATCTGCCTTTTTTTCTTTACAGCTAGACATATTTATACTATATTCACATCTCTTTAACTGCTTAAATCTAATAGTACTGGATTTGAACAGATTTAGATTATTTGTATTTGTAATAGTCACATCGCAAGATCTACAATCTCAAACTGGTATAATCTGTATTATAATTGATCAGGAGCTACATTTGAAACATTCATTATTTGTCATTGCAATGTTTAACCATAAAGTTTCCAAAACATGTATAACTTGTGTGTTTTTAGGGCTTTGAGCATGTCAGTTTAAAGCGTTCAGGCATAAGAAGTGACATTTCTCACTTTAATGAATGATATCTGTGCATCCACTGCGTAAAGCATATGCTGGAATAGTTGGCGGTTCATTGCACTGTGGCGACCCATGATAAATAAGGGACTAAGCTGAAGGAAAATTAATGAATGAATAGCTACAGTGGCTGAGAGAGCTAATCGTGCTGCGGTTGACAAAATCTGCAGCGTAAAACATACGCTGAAATAGTTGGTGGTTCATCCTGCAGTGGTGACCCCTGAGGAATAAAGGGACTAAGCTGAAGGAAAATGAATGAATGAATGATTATGATGGCTTCCATCATGAAAGCGGAGCGGTGTGTCTGATATTCAGCCGTCTGTGTGTGTTGTTGTGATTCTCCTCATAAATGGAAAGTGTGAATCACTGCTGTGTAAAGCATCTGTAACTCAATCCTTCTTTGATGTACTGAGATCAAAGCAAAAACTGCAGCGCAATTAAAATTAAAAACCTGCGATTCAGAACGAGACACCATAACCACCCCCATCATCATCATTTCAGAAGATTGGTAGAATGATGAACGCACCGTAAAGGGAACGCTACGTACTATAATCATGCAAATATGATGACAACTTATCCACACTATAATCCACAAATTACAAGTCTGCCTTCATTATTAGAATTGCTGGAAACCGGTAACCATTGACCTCCATTGTATTTGTTCTTCTTACTATGGAAATCAATGGTTACCCGTTTTCAGCATTCTTCAAAATATCTCCTTTTGTGTTAATACTCTAATAGTCTTTCTAATGTTCTGAAATGAGTAGTAGCCATTATAAAACACTGTCAGGTCTATTTTAAAGAGCGGTTTGTGTTAGTTCACCCAGTAAATGAACATTCTGTCATCATGTTCTGAGAATATACTCTATTCTCTATAACAATCAAATGATCTATGATCCCCATTGCTGTATGTGATTTTTATTTCTCATGTAAAGGAGGCAAATAATGATTATTTTGTTCATTTATTTTCACCAGAACAGCAACTTTCCTTAAAATGTCTTCTGCTGTATGTTAAAAGAATCTCATGGAGGTTTGGAACAACATGAAGGTAAAAAATACAGTAAATCATGTCAGAATTTTCATTTTAATGCGACTAGAAGCATGCATATATTTTTAAGTATGCAAAATATCCAACAGTTTTTAATCATACAGTGTTATCACAATATGCAAAAATGCTTTACTGACTTTATAAAGTACACTACATTTACTGACGATACAACAATCTGAATATTCTGAACAGTAGAAGGATGAGGCTCGCTTTTATTTATTCACAGCCTTTCGACTGTAAAAAAACACTTAGTTACTTTAACAAGGGAGAAAAGCTGTTGAGTCAACAAGGGGGTTTCACTTGAAGTCAGTATACCCATTAACTTCACTTTATAATCATCCTCTTAAGGCCAGAGCTGTATTTTACATGCACTTTTTATTTCTCTTTGCAATTTGGGCTTATTGGAAACTAATTAGAATAAAAACCTAAGTATCATCTTTTGATATGATGTACTTTTAGAGAAAAATGATGTGCATATATGTGGTCTTGTGGTCCGAATTTACATAAAAAACGTATTCCCGTTTTTTTTAATGCAAATTTAACATAGAATTATTTTTTTTTTTACTTGTTTTGACTATCAGAGAGTAAAAACAAATTTTTCCCCATTTTGGACAGTTAAAATAGTGTTTGGGACATTTCATATGCTGCAAAACAGTTGCAGGATGACACTGCAACAAGTTTACTCTCTCTTTTTAAGAAAAGTCAACTAATCCCTTTATACAGCTCTAGCTGCTCTTTAAACGTACAGAATAGAGGAATAATAAAAGCGAGATCAAATAGAGATGAATGAGATCTCTGACCGACAGCGAGAGGAGAATACTGCGCTTTCTTCATCTTCAGACGCTCTCATGCCCTAAAGGAATCTTTCAAAATGCCAGGCTTCAACATTCTGAGGTCACATTAAAATTTACCAGGCCTTAATCATTTATTATAGCTTTAAACGCATTTAATCCATCACACAAACCTTTCAATCTCAGTGAAATCTCTTAATTAAAGTATTCTAATAGTGTATAATAATATTTAATCATATACAACACAGAAATCTGATATATATATATATATATATATATATATATATATATATATATATATATATATTTATATTTTACATATAAAATATATAATTTATTTTATTTATTGTCATATATCAGACCTCTAAATTATAAAAACCCATTGTAATTTTGTTACAACCACTATAAAATGAATCACTATAAATGGCATCACTGCAAGACAAATAAAGCATTTATAAATGACCTAAACACTCTAAATGCATGGATATAAATACATAATTAAATAAGGTCAGATGCAAAACATCTAATAGACTATTAATTATAAGAGTTTATCTTTTGAAAATCCAAACGCGTAGAGAGTTCTGTATCTGCCGCTTATACGCTGATTTACGGATTCGGTTCGTTTGAGTCATTTGAACCGATTCATTACAATGGGTGATTCGAAGGGAAGATCGTCTTTCTATTATGATTATTATCTTGCAAAACACAGTGATTACCAGCACAGTGAACACACTCTTTCCCCTCTGACATTTACACTCACAGAATGAACATGCAAAAGCTAATTTAGTATATAATTAAACTGCAAATAAGCAAAATACACGTTGTAGATCAGTAAAAATGCACATGACAAGAGTTTCTTTGGCAAGAAAACTCTGAATGCATGCATATATTATGATTAGATTATGTCAAATAGTATATACATATAGCTAAAAGTGTTTAAATGTGCTCTATGCCGCCTTTGGCATTCGGATCGATTGAGTCATTTCAAATGATTCATTATAAAGTTGATTCCAAGAGAAGTTCGTCTGACTCGTCATGTTCATATTCATTCATTCATTTTCTTTCCGGCTTAGTCCCTTTAATAATTCAGGGTCTCCCAGCGGAATGAACCGACAACTTATCCAGTATATGTTTTACACAGCGAATGCCCTTCCAGGTGCAACCCATCACTGGGAAAGTTATGATATACTGCAATTAATCAGCGAAATTACACAACATTTGTTTCCAGATATTAGCGTTTTATGAAAATGCAAAACACTGATTTAGTAAATAATTCAACAATTAAACTGCAAATGAGAAATAAATGTAGATGAATGAAATTGCACATAATAAGAAGGGTTCCTTTCACACGATTACCAGTGAATAATGTAGAATAATAAATGAAGATATCAGATTTCTGTACAATGCTTATAAAGTGCAACAACAACAGACACAGTCCTTGTTAGAATATTGCAAAAAAAATGTCATTTCCACTTCATATTTTCAAAAATATCATTACAAAAACCTGTACAAGTGACCTGAAAACGCTAAAGGCATGCAGATGTGATTAGATATTGTAAAAATACCACATGTTCTATATCCACAGCTGCCTAGGGGATTCGGTTCAATTGATTCATTCAACCGATTCATTAGAAAGTTGATTCAAATAAAAGATCTGTTTACTCGTCTTGATCATCATTACACGGCAAATAATCAGCGATGTGAATACAACATATTTGCTCTCGTGTTATTAAATATTGTTCATCTTCTTTAAGTTTTAAAAGACGCTTAAAGAATCATGTTATGCTGTATATAACTGTGTAAAGGCATGCGTGTTTTATACATGGTTTGTTTTCGGAGTTTATGATTTTATTTTATAGTTTTGTGTGTGTGTGTGTGTGTGTGTGTGTGTGTGTGTGTGTGTGTGTGTGCGACATTTTTAATTATCTGTATTTATTATATACATAACTGCGTATGTGTTATCATTATTATTATTAGAATATATTATATATCTATTTTGTTTTTGTAATTTCGCACTTGTTGAATTGTTTTGTTATTGCTTTCTTTATTTTAGATAGATGGCCTTTGAATTGATGCCTTTTCCTTGACATTGTGGCTTACTTTTCTGTTTTATTTCAATACATGAAGCTGAATAAATTGCAAATAAATGCTCATTTAAAAAAAATATATGCGCATGAGTAAACCAACACAATCACAAAACAAAACAAGCAAATAATCAGAATAAATACTGTAGAGCAATGAATGCGTTACAAGCAGATTTCATTAAAGTCATTAATCAATGATCGCTCATTAAAACACACACTCCATCCAGAGTATGCTTGACTTCTGCAGTGTTTCAGTGTGATCATTGTTGGTGTTTTGAGCTGATATTTCAGCTCGTCTGCTGATTCTCCTTCTCCAGCAGCAGCAGTTCAAAGCAGCAGACTTCAGAAGCGGAGCATGCAAACACATGTCTCAAACACATGCAGGACTTCCCCTCTCCTCTCATCACAACTAAACTAAACTAAACCATTACCAGAACTAGTCCTGATCCACAACACACACGCGCACACGCGCGCGCATCAGAAAGCGCGCACATCAAAGAGAAAAAACGCGCAACATCAAAGAAAACTCGCACAAGAAACAAACACAAACTCCACAATGAGCCAATCAGACAGCGCTGATACACCAGAACAACACTTTAAACGCTCTAAACACTGTGTGTGTGAAAATAAATCAATATAAAGCGCTAACGGTGTGTGTGTGTGTGTGTGTGTGTGTGTGTGCGTGCGCGCGCATCTCATTAAAGCAGGAATTTGGCAAATGCGGCATTCCTGAGGCGCCTTTACCTGCGGGAGACGGAGCGCTGCTGGACACTCACAGGTGAAACACCGAGCTGGAGAGAGTGACCGGAGATCAGATCAGATTAAAACAGATCAGCTCAGATCATTCCGGTGATTCAGAACATTAGAGATCCTTCAAAAACCGACCATCAGACCGACCGACGCCTTTTAAAGCGCTTCAGGCTGAGACTGACTGCCTGACTCCACCTACACCTACACACACACACACAGAGAGAGAGAGAGAGAGAGAGAGAGAGAGAGATGCTCTCCGCCCAATGCAACCTGAGCACAGGTAAAGCAGACCCAGAGCTGCTCACTGCTGCCCACTAGCGGCGCTTACACACACACGCACACACACACAGTGTTGCCAGCCTTTATTCTACACTGTAAAAGATGTTGATCTCTTCTTTGTCCACTTTTGATGCTGAAAGTTCAACTCTACAGTTCAACGAAGTGACTTTTACTAACATTTTACCAGTTTAAAATAATATAATGTCATGAATAATATGTAGAGGAATAAGTGTGTAGAATAGCAGAAGATGTGCTGCAGTTTATTACGAGCTGTCTGTAGTGTAATATCCAACATCAACACACACTATACAGCACTACACACTATTACACAAAAGTCCATAATGACATTCAAAAGCAGAAATAAACAGAAAATTAAAAAGATGAGTCAGTATGAATGGAACATGGCTGATTTACAGATATTATTTACAGTGGAGATGTAGCGGCATTTTTGCTTCAAGCCGCTATCGCGGTAAGGGTAAACAATGATGCGTGAGTCCGCTGTGAATCCTTTTCTCATCTTTATTTTATCACATCTTGTGCCATCAAATAAGTGAAATTGCTTCTCAGTAGCACCCGTCACCACCAATGACTGTAAAAAATATGGATGACGCGACAGCCCCTTTTCCCATTGAACGCCTTGAGGGCAAAACGCCTGCTTGACGGGCACAAACTGTCGCAAAAGACTGCTGAAATTGGAGCCTTGACATGCGCAGAAGGACTGTCTGATGGAGCCAGAGGAGGAGCCGCGATAATGAGCGGAGTCGAGCTTCCAACCAAACGATTTATGTAAAATCAACCACGCCCCCTGAACTGCTCAGCATGCGTTTGCTGTCATATAAACACAGATGGATGTAATAACGTTAACAAATATGAGGGTTTTATATATTCAATCGCGCCAGCTCCGGACCGCAGCGCATAACCTACTCGCGGCATCGCGGGCTGATTCCGGCTCGCATGCGGCAACGCCGGCTCACTCAGCCGCCGCATCTGGCTCGATTGACTCGGGCTGGAATCGGGCAGTGAGTCCAGGCATCCGGAGTAGGTCCAGCAGAGGTAGTCAGTCTGAGCTCTGAGGGGTAAGTCTCCGGCAGGCGAGAATCTAGCCGGAACTGGCCCGAGTGTGTTTTGCTATCTGGGTGGTTAGGCGTGTATCAGCAAACTAATAAAGCCCGAAAAAAAGCCCTGACCTTTGCGAATAAACAGTGTTCCACCAGATCATGTATGTCAGAAACTATAGTTTACTGCTGAACTCATTTTGTCATGGTAAAATAACACAGAAATCGAATAATAACACTTCAGTCTCCTGCCGAAGCTCAGACGCGCTGCTTTGAGAAACTGTCAATCACAGCTGTCAATCACGATGACACGCCCAGCATTAAATTACTGCTAAAAACAAACTGTTTACACAAATGAAGATCTGCACCTATTTCAGCACAATAACCAGTGCCTTAATCCACCAGAACCATCTTTCGGGACATTTTATTGCAAGTGTAATAAATGTTTTTATTTGGGCTCAAGTCTCCTTCATTAACACGAAGGAGGCGGGCTTTATGACTTGTACTGCAGCCAGCCCCCAGGGGGCGATCTAACGGCCGAGACCTTCACTCAAACGCAGGCTACACTTGGTCACCACACACAAACTCACGGTCTGAAAATTGTATCCGCTTCCCTTACTACTCCACCTACTACCTGGCATCCTTAAATCCCAATTTTAACAGAATAAAAGTCCTCATTCACAAAATCACAACAATAAAGCAAATACTTAGACATGAATAATATATGAATACAAAATTCGAAATACTCAAACCTAAATACAACAAATATCAAATATAAACTTAATAATAATCATAGTATCCAACCAATCCATTTAATCCAAACATAATTGTAATGGCGATCTAATTCTTCAAGTTCTTCACCGTTTTCATAGGGACTCGGCACAAAGGATTTGACGCGCAAAACCACAAACTTGCAATGCAACAGTTTACTTTTCGTTTGTCGAGAACAACAATAATCAAAATACAAACAAAAGAACTATGTACACTTTACCAAGCTTCCACATAAATATGGTTTTAGAACGGTCAAAAGACTGTCTACGATCAAGCCCCTTCCTCCTTTCTAATCCTTTTTTCCTGTTGCTTACGCATACATATGACGTATAACATTACTGAACACATAAAACATCATGCACATAATATAATATCACTAAATAAACATATTAAATACTGTATCAAATAGCAATAACTTTGTATCTCAATACAAATAATATAATATTATAAAAAATATTACAAAAATAAAAAGACAAATCTCTAGTGCTCTTTATGGCTCTAACAATAATAATAAAATAAAGAAATGGCTCCAACACTGCCCTAGCAACAACTTCTTTTCAAAAGCACCAAGCAGCAGATTTAGCTATTGTTCAGGAGGGAGACAGCTCTGGGGGAAAGCTGCTCCTCAGTCTGCGTGCTCGGCGCAGGCAGTGTTCCTCTGGATGTCCTCTATGGCTGGCAGTGTGGTCCCTGTGATGCGTTGGGCAGTTTTCCCGACCCGCTGCAGTGCCTTACGCTCAGCAACAGAGCAGCTTCCATACCAGACTGTGACGCAGCTGGTCAGGATGCTCTCTATTGTGCAGCAGTAGAAGTTCACCAAGGCAGCTGATGAAAGCTGGTTCTTCTTCAGTTGCCTTAAGAAGAATAGGCGCTGGTGAGCCTTTTCGACCAGGCTGGAGGTGTTGGAGGTCCAGGAAAGGTCCTTTGAGATGTGGGTCCCCAAAAACTTGAAGGATGAGACAGGCTCATCGGCCATCCCATTGATGTGGATGGGATCATGTGAGCCTGTTCGTCCCTTTCTGAAGTCCACAATGAGCTCCTTGGTCTTGTTGGTGTTAAGAAGCAGATTATTGTCTGTGCACCAAGTGGCCAGATGCTGTATCTCCTCCCTGTAGGCCGTCTCATCATTATTGCTGATTAGACCAATCACTGTGGTGTCATCTGCAAATTTGATGATGGTGTTGGATCTGTTCACAGGCCTACAGTCGATGGTGAAAAGGGAGTAGAGGAAGGGGCTCAGCACACAGCCCTGTGGTACACCAGTGTTGAGTGTGACGGTGGTGGAGCAGATGTGGCCTGATCCTGCATTCTGAGGTCTGTTAGTCAGAAAGTCCAGTTGCAGAGAGGTGTCGATATCCAGGTCTCTAAGTTTGATCATTAACTTAGAGCAGGGGTGTCAAACGTACAGGCCGAAACAGGCCCGCAAACGAATTTAACGCGGCCCTCGAGATGAATCTGTGAGCTGAAATTTGTCAATAAAATATACTGCTGTTCCAGTTGTGTCCACTGCATGGCGCAATAGCAAACTTAATTTCATCCCATCCAGAAGCCTGAATCAGTGTCAGTTTGACAGCCATCTCTGAGAGAAAGACCTCATACCTTTTTTTGTATCCGTCCAAGAAAAGTAAACATTTGCGATCGATTAACCAGTGGAAAATCTGCTCTCGCACTGCACGTTTCCTGCTGCTGGTTCTGTGTGTGCGCGATCTGTCACTCCCACAGGAACCCTCACGAGCTCTGCAGACCCACTGAGACGCGCCTTTTCCGCCAAAATGCATCCGGCCGTAGTTTCTGAATCTCCTAAAATGTCCAGGATTCAGGTTTTACTTTCGCTTTCTAAAGTTGCTGTTATTTGTATGCGATTTCGCAGCTGACTGTGTGCGCACAACCGCGAGAGAACCATTTAGTGATTAATCATTTAATAGACGACTCGGATAAACTTTATACTCGGAGATCTATAATACATCATCAGAAATTGCTAATTTGCCTTATTTAAATAATCTACTCTTTCTATTCTAGTTGTTATTATAATGTTTTGCAATAATGTCTATTATTATTCATTTTTTTCTGATATTTATTTCTCATTTTCTGCATATTTTATTAATTTCAAGAATTCACACTTCGCTCATGATTTATACATAGCTTGTTTGGCATGCTGTCCCGGGAGAGAGCCCTGAGCTCAAGGGATCCTCGAGCCCAGGGCTCCCCCTCTTTTGCAGGGTGAGTGGAGATTGAGCTCAGGTCTATCTCAAACTCCCCCGCTGCTGAGGCCAAGGCAAACTTCCTGAGAGTGAGACATTATAAAAAAAGGTTTAGGCTTATTTTATCAATCATATAGAGCACATTTGAATAGTGGTAGGAAACCGGGGAACCTGGGGGAAACGCACACGGACACGGGGAGAACATGCAAACTCCACACAGAAATACCAAATGGCTCAGCGAGGACCCAACACTATTGGTATTCTTGCTTTGAGGCAACAGTGCTAGTCACTGGGCCACCGTGCCACCCATTCTGGATAAAGGAGGAAGACGGGGAGGAGGGGGTTTCTTCCAGACGAAGATTGTTGTAGAAAGGAAATAAGGATATATATGGAGACTTGGGATCCTTTGATTGGAGGATCATAATCAGCTAATGTAGACCAGCTGGGTTAATCATGAGCACATGCTCCTCTCGAAATTAGTTTAAAATTAAACTTCACTTAATGATTGTTACGTTTCACGTATATGTTTTGTGGTATTTTGTAGTTTTCTGCTTTGCGCTCTTCTCTCTTCTCTCTCTTGTTGTGGTCCTATCCTGTTTTAGGTGTGCTACCATTGGTTGAGTGAGCTGTCATTCATCTTCGTCACTCAGTCGGTGCGCCAATAAGGATCGGGTCAGCGCAGTATAAAACCGGTGCGCTTGCGCTGATCTGGAGGAGCGCTTGGCCTGCCAATCTCCTCACTTGTGTCGGCCGGACTGTTTGTTTGATTGTTCCGCTTGATTCGTTTGCGAGTGCT